GAGGACCCCCAGATTGCGTACCCTCTCCGAGGGAGCCAAGATTTCGCCCCCTATAGTCAGCGATGGAGTCAGCTGACTATGCCGAGGCGCCGGCAGCCACAGCCACTCGGTCTTGGAAGGGTTGAGCCTGAGTCTGTTCCTCCCCATCCAGACCCTTACGGCCTCCAGGCAACGGGCCATCACGTCAAGGGCATCGTTGAGGTGGCCTGGGGTGGAAATGTACAGCTGAGTATCATCAGCGTACTGATGGAAATCCACCCCAAAGCCACGAATGATCTCTCCCAGCGGCTTCACATAAATATTGAACAAAAGGGGAGAGAGGACCGACCCCTGTGGCACCCCACAAATTAGGGGCCTTGGGGTCGACCTCTGTCCCCCTGCCAATACAGACTGCGTACGGTCAGTGAGGAAGGAGGAGAACCACCGCATAACAGTGCCTCCCACTCCTAACCCACCCAAACGTTGCAGCATGATACCGTGGTCCACGGTATCAAAAGCCGCTGAGAGGTCCAAAAGAACAAGGACAGAGGAATAACCCCTATCCCGGGCCCTCCAGAGATCATTGACCAGCGTGGCCAATGCCGTTTCCGTGTTTTAAATTGAGGGGAGATGTTACATTTATAAACCTTTAAAGGCAAGCAGCATTCATCAAAATTTTAAGCCCGTTTATACAGGTCTTTTCTGTCACAACTTCCTTTCCTTATTATACTATTAGTGAAGCACAAAACAAAACAGTTACACTGCTGCACATTCCTGCACTAAAAATACATTCATGTTTGACTCTTGAACAATCTATGTAGATTTCTGAGCATCACTACAGAAGTTCTTCCAAGATTGTTTTATTATTTTTTCAGTATCTCAATATAACCTACAGCCTTGTATTCCTGGAAGTCTCTCATACAAATATAAGCCAGTTCTACTAAACCTCTAAGATTAACCTAGGGCTAAGCTTTTTTTTTAAAAAAAGGAAAAATATAACCTTCCCCTTACTACCATCACCAATTAATATATTTTAGAAATGTTTTTTTTACCTGCATTCCTACACTTCTAACCATTTCATGAGTTGAAGGTAGATCACAGTCATCTGAAAAAGCTGCAGCATGTCCTCGAATTAACTTTGTATCAAATAGATCTTGGATGTCTCCTAAGAAAAAACAAGGTTATTTCCTCTCTCAAGAAATATTATCAATTGCCTTTACATATTCTGATATAAAACTTAAAAAGTCTCTAACAATTTCATTATAAGACCCTTGCCACTACTTTCAAACATTCAGATGTATAAGACAGAGCAAAGTTGTAACAATGACATAAATATTTTGGAAATGATGTATTAGGAAAAAAGCAGGATTTTTTTTTTCATAGCTTACCTTGTACAATCACGTCGTCATCAAAATAAATCACTTTTTCATGTTCATGGATAAGTAGAGGGAGGTAAAATCGAACAAAGTTTAGCTGTTGAATGTTTTAAAAAAATATTAACAAAGTAGATAGTACAAATTCTTTGTATCTAGTTTACTAGATAGTATTATTTAATGTAAATATCTGTCCTTTATTGTTAACATGTCTAACCTCCACCAAAAACAAGCAAACACCCATGTAATATACTCCAGTGGAATTTTGATTTGCGTGCACATTTGCATATTGTCAATATTATTTACAAAAAGAAAACACTGTTGCTAGTCTTGTTTTTCTTTTTCTATTGTTTGGGCTACGAAAACTACTATCTCTAGTGTTTGGAAGATATCTGAACATATCCCTATTGACTGCAGTTTTGCCAAGAAAAATAAAAAGAATTTCAAATGCATTCAACTTTTATAACCCCTAAACAATTTTTCTAGCATCCAAGTGGAACTTGTTTTTCTCTAACATAAATCCATTATTTCATATCCTGCATTTTGAGAAGATGAGAGGTGAGAACTGAGGCTAGTTTGGCTCTAGTGCTTAAGGCACCAGGCTAGAAACCAAGAGTCTGTGATTTCTAGTCTATATCTTAGGCATGAAAGCCAGATGGGTGACTTTGGGCTGGTCACTCTCTCTTAGCCCAACACACTTCGTAGTGTTGTTGTGGGGACAATTGGAGGAGAAAGGAGTATTACTATGTTTCTCCGAAAATAAAACCTACCCTGAAAATAAGATCTAGCTTGATTTTGGGGGTTGGGCCTAATATAAGCGCTACCCCAAAAATAAGCCCTACTTAAGAGCCTGTGCAGCCGGCTGGCTGCCCAGTCCATCACACCATCTGGTTGCTAGACACAGGGAGAGGGGAGGGGGGAGCTGCCCTACGTACCCCGCAACCGCTTACCATGCCGAAGGGCCCCCGCAGCCAGGCCTACCATGCCCCGACACCTGTCAAGCCTCACCTGTTCGGTAGTGGCTTCTCCCACTTTTTCCTTCTTCCTCCTGCTTTGAACAGTTCTTTGCTCCTGTAGCTGCTTTTTCAGTCCTGGATCTCGGTTGCTCCAATCTGGCTTTGCAGCAAGCAAGGGGATTGGAGGCACGTGAATGCATGCTAATCTGGCATCTCAAAAAAACTGATTTCCCCCCCTCCGGCTGGATTTTTGCTGCCATACTGTATAACTTTCTTTAAAGTTTACTTGATGCAGAATGTGGATCCTTCCTGTTCTGCATCACGTAAACTTTTAAAAAAGTTAAACAGCGAAAATCCGCAGTGGGGAAAAAAACCCGTTTTTTTGAGACGCCAGGCTAGCATGCATTCACATGCCTCCAATCCCTTTGCTTGCAGCAAAGCCAGATTGGAACCCTCGGGCTGCTCCTTCCAGCAAAGTTTGGAGCCTGTCCAAAAGCAAAGGGAATGGTTCCCACCCCACCCGATCACTACGGGGCCTTGTTTCCAAAAACCCTCTGCACAGGCTCTGGACAAACTAAGATCTGGGTCTGAAAAAATAGAACAGGAGCAAAGGCCTGTTTAAAGGAGGAGGAGGAAGGAGAAAGTGAGAGAAGCCACTACCGAACAGGCAAGGTGTGACAGGTAATGGCGGCATGGTAGGCCTGTCTGCGGGGGGTCCTTTGGCATGATAAGCAGTTGCGGGGTGCGTGGGGCAGCTCCCCCCCACCTGCCTCACCTTATGGCAGCAGCACTGGCATGATGCAGAAGAAGTGGGGCAGCAGCCAAGCAGCTCCTGGACAGGGGTGTTAGTACTGCT